TACAACATATGCTTATAAGATAAATGAGAGTGTGGGGTTTGTTGCTACTTTTGTAAGCACTATTTGGCGATTACAGTTATAGCAACACAGTTGTGGTGTGGGATTTGTTGCTATTTTTGTAAGCACTATTTGGCGAGTGCAGTACAGTCATAGCGACAGTTTGGCTCGGTGGTGCTGTGGTCGTAGCAGTGTGATGCTAGTTGGGTAATCTAATAAGTTCCTTATATAATTTATAGAGAGATTTGTGTATCTAAAATATACCATACAAAGTGTATAATATATAATATATATGTCCGATACGCACAATAAGTTTGCTATAAATTTATAAAATACTATAACAGCAGTTAGTATTATAATATAGTATAAATTATTAATACTACTACTAATAATAAATAAAAGCTGTAAAAATTGAGAACATGATGTGCAGTATAATAACATAAGATATTGTACTATGACAGCTATTATAAGTTTATGAAGAATTATTGTTTTATTTTCTTACTCATAACAACACAATATTGTACAAAAAATATATATTTTTTCGGATTAAAAGAGTCACAGCGCAAAAAGTTGTATTTTTGAGGTTTACAGACTCATATATAAGTTGGTTGAATCAATATAAATCTAACGTTGATTTTTCAACATTGATCTAACGTTTTTTTAACGTTAAGTAGCGTAGATTTTTTGACATAATTAATAGATAGCCATTAGATTAATTTTGAAGATTCAATTTTGTTAGCCTGTAATAGGTATTTTCGATCTTGTTGTAGCGTTATTCGTATTGCTATGTTGTTCATATCCTCCAAAATTGTTTAAAACTGTTAGTTAAATTTTATCGCTTCCATCAACAAGTACGGCAGTTGAAAAATCGTTTAGCAGAAAATCTTTAATCCATAATTAAAATCAAAATAGAATTTGATTTTAAATATGGATTCACAGGAGTCCTCACAAAATTAGGTGTAATAAAAAAAAATTAAAAAAATTTGATTTGTTTTTTATGATGCACACTGCACTCAGCAGCACCAAAAAATCTACTGCAATATACAAGAGGAATAACTTGGCAGGCCAACTGCATCAGCTGTCATACACAACATCTGAGCAAAACCTAGGCGTTGTTCTAACTAACAATCTAAAGGTTAGAAAGTCTTCACGGCTGCAATAGCTGGCAACCAATTGCATGGCAGGATCAAGAAAGCATTTTGAGGTCAAAGTTTATCATTATGGCGCACATTTATACGTATACTTTTACGTATACTTCATAAGTTTTCCCACATTTAGAATTTGCAGTACAAGGTATCTTGTACTGTAAATTCTAAATATGGGCAATGCACCATTTCTTGCTCAAGACATAGGGTTAGAGTTGAAACTCGCGCAAACTTGAGCAAGTTTGACACTGAGCCACAAAACATATTGCCAACTTAAAGTACTTGCCCTATATTCAGAGACTATCGAAACTAAATTTTACCACGCTAACTAAACAACGAAAAAGGGGAGACCTTATTGAGCAATAGAGAATCATCACGAAAGTTAACAAAATTAACTTCAGCTTCATCTGAAGTCTTTAAAGTACAGTCTTTGATCGCGTGGACACAAAACAACTGAAAGCACAACTTGTACGAAACTGCGCAGAAAAAAACAACTTGCTCATCAACAGTGTTGTCAAAAAATTGAATGATTTAACCCAAAATGCATACGACTCAAAGAACTTGTACAATTTCAAATACAAAATTTCTTGGCTCCGGCGTCTTAACTTAATTATAGTAGACACTGTATTTAAGAACAAAATCCGAATCATATATCCGAATATCCGAACAAACTTTTGTGAAAGATGAATATTGTAAGGTTATTACAAAAAAATAAACTCACGTACAGCAATTTTGATTTCAAAAAACATTTTCTGGGAGTCAAAATCCAGGACCCTCGTGGGTAATTGGCTTCAACATCAACATAGCATAGGGTAATAAAATAAAAAATAAAATCCGGCCCTTAATTATCCAATGACAAAGTATTTAAATTAATTTTTATTTCCCATATTTAAGATTGAAAATCAAATGATGCAGAATAATCTATTACTCAAAGACAAAGACAATGAATTCTGGACAATGTTACTGAACGGACTGTTACTGAACGGAGTTACTAAACAATCTTTATGTTAAGTAAGGTTAGTTCAGTAACCTGTTGTTTAAAAAATAATTTTAATTATTTGTTAGACAATTCTTTAAAATTTTGTATTAATTGTTGACATTATAATAAAGTTCAAAATAGCATGTAACAAGTTTTTTTAATTTTGAAAATCTAAAATTCAAAAAAAAAAAAAAGCAATTCCAAAAAAAAAAAGATATAAAAAAACTTTTTTTTTTTTTGCAGACTAACAAGATGGTATGTTAAAGAAAAGAATGAGATTCTAAGAAACAAGTCTTCTAACAAATATCTTTTAAAAACAAATTTTGAATTTAGTTTATTTTGATAAAAAATTTAAAAGGAAAAAAAAAAAAGGCGTGAATTTCCTATTAAATACTCTTTTGCGGTTCTCCGTTAGGACTTCTTGGTGTTACCAGAAAAAAATTAAAAAAAAAAAAAAATCGTAACAAAAAAATAGGAAAAACTTTTCTGAACTTTTTTCACAAAGTTTTTACAATCATCTACAACTTTTATAAAATATATATTTTTATTATCAATATAAATTTTTACAACATTACCACGTAAAAGAATAGAGCAAGTAGAAAATGAATGTCTTATCATCTTTCTCTGTTATTGTCGTTTATATTTTACAACCAATATTCATGTAATAATCAACCAAAATAAAATAACTAAAACAATAAAGTATTTATAATATATTTATACTTTATAGTCTTTATTATTATTATTATTACAATTATTATAATTTTTTTCAACAAATAATTAATAACCAAGCAATATAACAACCAAAAATAGTAAGATTACAAACTAGTTATTTATATGTAAATGTAACCATAAGCAGTTACAGATAGGGGAAACCGGGAAGAAATTGAACACTTAGAAATCTTCTACCCTGTTAATATTTAAAAAAATATTATCTATAGTCAATATATTGGTAGACATAAACTCATACCTTTAAAACAACTAGGTTTATAACCTTTACAACTAGGTTTATAACGAAAAAAAAATAGGTTAATGTAAAACTTTCTGTTTCAAGTGAATCATTTAGATCATTTAGATTAGTTGTGAGTTTTGCCAGAGTGCTTAAAAAAAAATATTTACCTAATGACATATGGAAACTAAGTATTTATATTCTATAAACGAGTTAGTAACTATTTCTTTCATTTTTTCAACACACCATATTGGGGAAGACTTCGGACACTGTCCTCTAATGCTATTGTAATTATTACTACATAATAATTCCCTATAGACAAGAAGATTCTACAAGGAAAAACCTCTAAAAGTAAAAATCCTTAGAGAAACATTGTCAGATGAATAAATAGAAAAATTTCAACCAATGATTGTGAATACATGGTAGTGCATACATACATGGATTCAATACATAAAATGAAAAAGGATTCAATAACAGCAATACTGATATTTTTTATGTACCAAAAGGAGAAATTAAATTTATAAAGGTGTAGAATCTGATCAAGTGTAGAATCAGATGAAGTCAATATGGCAGTAACTATACAGCAAAAGCTAAAAAGCTGAAGGTGGTTATGAAGTAAAATTTTACGAAATGAAAACCTTGTTTAATACGTTTATAAAAACTAATAAAGAATTTTCATTTATATTTTATACCAATATAATGCTTTCATTGCCAGTTTCTGCAGAGGATACATCCTGCAGACATTTTAGGGATACAGTTTATTTTAGGTGCACTTTGGATGCCTACTAATTGCAATAATTTAAAACTGAATATTATGGTTGAAATTATGTATTTAATTTATGTCCATCATCTTTCCTATACATGTCAGAAGTCAATACACACGGGGTGACTCCTAACTTAGGACACTTGACTAGCATTTTTAAAATAGTTTTTAAACATTTAAAATCAAATAATATAAAAAAAGCATAAATATATTTTAATCATAATCTTTGATAAAATTTTTACTTTAAAAGAATTTTTATATAAGTTTATATAATAGTTTTTATGAGCGCAATTAGAGTAAACACTGTTTGAAGTCTAAAAATAAAAAACTGTTTTAATAATGATAAGGTCAAGTAACTGTTGCTTTTCAACGCAATAAAAATGCTTTATAGAGTTTGTCGCTTATATTTTACACGTGAAAAATAAGTTTTTTATTTGCTTGATATTGAGCTTTTAGATGGTCTCGTAGTTTTTGGAATATTGTGGTTTTGAATGGGATATTTTTTTTTTTGTTATTTGTGATCTATCAGTTGGAAATATTTATTGATGACTTTTGGGATTAAACTATTATTCACGTTAGGCAATAACTGAAGGATTCTATAGATATTGCAAGAGGCATATCTATGATATTTTGTTTTTAACATATCTAGTTTTGATTGGTATGTACTTACTCAGGCAATGTTGCAGAAACGTAGCTGCAAACAAATGCAAAATATAAATTTTAAAGATTTTTTAAGGATTTTAAAGAAAGTATAAGTATAAAAAAGTATGAGTTGTTAAAAGTGTAATTTGTAATATAAAGGCGTCGATAAATTTCGTTTACTAAAAATCATGTAAAAATAAACAATGTTTTAAATTTTCACTTAAATTTTTATTTGATACGTAGTTTTCAGATTAAAGGAAAAACTTTTATCATATACAATTCAAACCTACAAATCAAATTTATCAATATTCAAATACTATAAGATATATAATTAATTCTTCAATATCAATATTAAAATTAATTGTAACCAACTTAAACTTGAAAAAAATTATATATAAAAAATCGAATGATTAAAAAAGCAGTTTAAAAACATCTAGCATTAGATAAAAATCAGCAAAAAAACAACCATCTGCTATTTCAAAAAGAAAATGGCGCTAAAGCAACGCTAAAAAAAAAAGAAAAAATTAGATGCTATAAATTTAAACAAACAATAATTTTTAAAAGCTAATATATTGTCAAAGATTGCTCATATATCATTGCGTATTCCTCCGGAGTAGGTTCACCACCAGGAGCTAACTTTGTAACCCGTGTTTGAGGAATTGTGCCACTAACTAACCGTGGTATATCTTCAGAAGTATAACCGAGACTTGCGATTCCATTATCTACTTTAAGTTCATGCATAAATTTTCGAATCGCGTCAGAAAGAATAGCACCAGCATCTGAACTTCTTGCATTACTTATATCAACTCCTAAAAATATGAAATAAAAATATAAAACATTTACGCTAAAATAATAAACTAAAAAAAATTTGATAATTAAATTTTAAAAAATGAACCCCCTTCTTCTCATTTGTTAGGTTTAAGGTGAATACTTTAAAAAAAATTCTAAGATCTAACACTTGCATATCACTTACCAAAATTGTCAAAAAAATCTATGTACTTTCTAAATACAATACTTGGTTTTTTAGTGAGCGATTTTATTTAAAATGACTTATAAACAGGTAGAAATCCCTTTCCCTCCCCCTCTTCCCCCCCAAAAAAAAACAAAAAAACAAACTAGGTCTATATAATAAAATTAACCTAATTAATTGATTTTTTGAAAAAATCACAGTTTTGAAAAAGTCACAGTTCCCACTTTAAACAGAGCAAATACACAAATAACAGTCTGCTGTTTTTCCACCACTCAGAAAATAAACCTGCTATTTTTCATTTAATTGCGCTTAAACAACTGTGCTCTCAAGGGAAACAGCAAATAATTGGGTTACAATTTTCTAAACTCTATTATGCATTTTTTCTTGTTGACTATCAACGTTTAGCGAGAAAAGGTAAACATTTCTGACAAAGGCTAAATATTGAAGATCGTACAAAGGAAACTTTAAGACAATTTTAATGAAACTGAGTAACATAAATATTAAAATGTAATTTTTTTTGAATAATAACGCAATGAAACCATGCAAGCACACAATATTCTACTTTCACAATACTAACAGACATAAGAGAGAACCAAAGAGAGAACAAAAGAGAGAACCAAAGAGAGAGAAAAGAGAGAGAGAAAAGAAAGAGAAAATTGAGAGAAAAAAGAGATACAAAAAAACCGAAAAGAGAGAAAGAAGAGACAACAAAACCAGAAAGAGAAAGGAGAGACAAGAGAGAGAAAGGAGAGACAAGAAAGAGAAAGGAGAGACAAGAGAGAGAAAGGAGAGACAAGAGAGAGAAAGGAGAGACAAGAGAGAGAAAGGAGAGACAAGAGAGAGAAAGGAGAGACAAGAGAGAGAAAGGAGAGACAACAAGGCAAGAGAGAGAAAGGGGAGACAACGAGACAAGAAAGAGAAAAGAGAAACAAGAGAGAGAAAGAAGAGGAGACAAGAGAGACAAGAGAGACAATGAGATAAGAGAGAGAAAGGAGAGATAACGAGACAAGAGAGACAAGAGAGACAAGAGAGAGAAAGGAGAGACAACGAGACAAGAGAGAGACACGAGAGAGACAAGAGAGACAAGAGAGAGAAAGGAGAGACAACGAGACAAGAGAGAGACACGAGAGAGACAAGAGAGAGAAAGGAGAGACAAAAGAAAGAAAGGAGAGACAACAAGACAAGAGGGAAAGGAGAGACAGTGAGACCAGAAAGAGAAAGGAGAGATAAGAAAGAGAAAGGAGACAAAAAAGAAAAAAAAAGAGACACCACGAGACTAAATTTTAGTTCTCATCTAGTAATAATTTTTTGTAAAAAAGTAAATAAAATAAACTAGGCAATAAAAAAATAAAAAATCTTTAGTAATTCAACTATATGAGTAGACTTATAAAAAAATAACTGCACAATGCTCCGGTAATAAAAAAATATTTTAGTCTAGCAGCTAACCTGTTTTAACCTGTTAAACCTTTCCTTTAAAGTTAAGCCTTTTTGAGATAATGAATTCATTGTTAAATAATTTTAAAAAGAAATATAAACTTTTACTAATATGAAAGTAAATTCTTGTCATTGATTTGAGTTAAAAACTCAGTTGACATCTATGAATTCTGTTCATAGACAAAACTCTGTTTTTATCATAATTGAGTTTTTTATGTTTTTTTATTTTTAATTCAAATAAATATCTATTATTATAATTTTTTTTTTTCTTGACTGATTCTTTTCGTTATAATGTAATGTTTTTTTGTTTTAGAAATTTTAATTAATTTTTTTAACTAATACTGAGAAAAATTAGCTTTGTGAAGTGTTTGAATCCTATCTGTCAAAATGAGTGTGATCAGACTTGATTTTTATGACTTTATTAAAAGAAAATATTACTCCATGTCATAAAAACATTTTTTAATGATTTTGAAACATAAATACATTCAAAACTTAATATTATTATTAATATTGATTTTTTTATAAGTGTAAACTTTTATAAATTATGTTGCTAAAAAAGTCAAGATGGAATGGTATAAAAATGCTGTATTTCAAAAAAAGACCAATAAAAATAAAATTATGAGCAATATTGTGTTTATAAAAATTATAGTCTACCAAAAATAAGGTCTAGTGAGGAGCTTCTTTTCTGAATCTGCTGATATCTTTAAAGCAGCTAAGCAAGTTACTCAAAGTTCAGATGGAGCGAGCTTTTATCATAAGAATGAAAAAATGTAATATTTCATCTGCTTTTTTATATAATTTAATTGAAGTTTGTTTTAAAAAATAAAGTGCTATTACAGCAAACTTTGGTAACTTCTCATTGAAAAAAACAAAAAAATTTGAAAGACCTTACCTACAGTCAGAGAAATATGTATAAAAAAAAAATTTAATTTTAGGTTTTTTTTCAACTTATTTTTTCAGAAAAATAAAGATTTTGATAAATACTGCTATAATATCTCTACCACCCTAACACGATCTCTACCACTGACACGATCTCCACCACCCTGACACAATCTGCACCACCCTGATATGATCTCCACCACCCTGGTAGTACTGCACCCACCCAACTTGTTTCTCCATGCGACGACCTTATTTGTCAAGATTCGTGTTTCAGAGTTATAGAGTTGAGAGAAGGTTGTAACCACAACTAAAGTAGTTTTCTTGACTGTAGTAGCCTTCATGGCTTTAGGGAGGTAAATTAAAATTTTTAAAAAAATGTCTGCTTAAAATTTACACTGTTAAAATTAAACAATTCCTCAAGAAGTTTGAAACCTCAACAAAAAATAATTATTGAAACATGTTGTTTTGTAATTGATGACTCGGAAGTAATTATTAAAAAAAGGTTTTTAAACAATAATTTTAGAAAATTGTTTAATAACAAGAAACCATTAACAATTATAATGATATTTTTCAAACTCATTTGATTTACCATTGATATATCAAGTATTATCAAGTTAGATCCCTACCATATCACTAGTAGTACCGCGCCCAATTTGTTTCTCCACACAGCAACCCTGGTCATTAAGGTTCAAGTTTCAGAGTTATAGAGTTGAGAAAAAGTTGTAACCACAACTAAAGTAGCTTCCTCAACTGTAGTGGCCCTCATAGCCACTACAGTCGAGGAAGTGTGAAATCAAATAATAATAAAAAAAAGTATGGTAGTTAAGATCAAGAAGTCATCACAAGCTCAACACAATTTGAGTATTGATTTGTTAAAGCAATCAATTGAAGGAGAGTTTCAAGCAAGACACCATGCCTTTTAAAAACCCATCTAGACCAAAGACTTGCATTTGTTAAAAATTTTTGTGGACTGACAAGGCAAAGTTTAATCATGCAAAGCCAGATGGAGCTCAAAAAGTGTGGAAAAAAAAAGTGAAGCATTCACACTCAGTTCCATTTGAGGAACAGTAAAACTTGGTGGAGGCAATGTTATGGTCAAGAAATCAATGCCTTGAATCAACAGAACAAAAAAGCTGGAGTTTAGAACTATGGACTTGGAAATTCTCAATAAAAATCTTCTGATCCTAATTAAAAAATTGTGATTGGGAAAACATTTTATCTTAGACAAGACAACAACCCGCATACATCAAAAAAAGTAGCACACAATGTTAAAAAAGTCAACAAAGTAGCACACAATGTCAACAAAGTAGCACACAATGTCAATATCAATCATGCTCCAAGAAGATCCCAAAAATCAATTTTACCTTTAGAAGATAAAATTAGATTAACTTGTTTTTTAAACGACCTTTAAAATTATAGTAGTAATTGAAATTAATTAATTTTAGTTTTGCTTTATTTTGATTTTGCTCAAATATAACTTTTTTCTTTAAAGAAAAAGTATATATTTTTGCTTCTTATGATTAAAATTGGGAGCGAATTGAGTTAATTAGTTTTTAAAACATACCTTTTAAAATTTATTTCTGATTTTATATTTCTGAGGGGACGTTGCCATTATTTATACGGTGTTTGTTTTATGCATTGTTTTTATGGGTCTTAAGAACATTTTCAAACTATTATGTTTAATTATGTTTAATTATGTTTAATGGTCTTTTAAATATTTTTAAAGAATTATATTTAGAAAACAACAAAAATAGCCATTTAGAACATCTGTCAAAGAAATAAATCTTTTTTAAAAAGTTTAAAAAAAACCCTGAAATTCATTTATTTGAATTCTTTGTGTTATTTTAGCCTAAAAAAAGCTTTATTTGCTTGTTTGCTTTAGGTGTGTTAATGTTATGGCTAATGAAAATAAATGTACTATATCAAAGAATATAAATGTGAAAATAAATGAATGCTATAAAGGTTGAGTTGTAAAAAACTGGAATAAAGATGGGCAAAATTGTTTAAAAGACTGAATTTAATAGCAAGCTTTGAACTTATATTTTTAATTTTTCAAAATATTTGAAAAATTAAAAAATATAAAGTTATGTTTGAATATATATATATATATATATATATATATATATATATATATATATATATATATATATATATATATATATATATATATATATATATATATATATTAAACATCTTCGCTTCCAACAAGGCTGCAAGAAACCACTAATTAGACTTGGAAGTTACTGGAAGAGAAAAGATGAAAATTAGTGAGCAAGATAACGATTGACAGACAACTAGCAATGATTGCGAATTATATAAATCAGGAAAGAATTGAATTCCAAAGAACGAGGGAAAAAAACTAGAGGAATAAGAGTTTTTGGATACGCTAGAAGAATAAGAGTTTTTGGAGCACTTAGGAACAGTCACAGAAAAAGAATGAGACTTAATTGAATGACGAGTAACAGGAGAATGAATTTTAGTAAAAGGCACAAGAGATGCTAGCTCTATAGAGCAGTGCCCATTATA